TACTCTTTCGTTCTTTCGGTAAAGTCACGTAGATAGAAAAAAAAATAGATCACAACGTTTCGATCGCAACACAAGTGGTCGTCCTCAGGCGGAAAAAATAATCCAGCAGTGGAACTGCTGAACCAGCGAGAGAGCTGTTACAACAAGGTTATATGTGTGATGATGGGCAAGCAAGTGGAGTCTGAGCTGGAAAGGAATTCCGTCCCCGGACGCAAGCACGTCAGTTGTGTTAATGGGAGAGATTAGGGAGAGAGAGATTAGGGAGAAAGATTAGCATTATGTCACTTCATCATCACGTGCAAAATATAGTCAGGGCTTGCAATATTCAAATATCAGGGCTCTCTGAAACGTTGACCACGATTGAGTCATGACATAGCCAACACGGTGGCATGTAGTATTGTATCAACAAGGCTTTGTTATTGCAGCTCACTATTCTATGGGACGTTTGGAAAAAACAATACCAAGCTGCGGCGTGAACAAAATTCTTTGGCACGTGTCATGATGGGTACTGCAAGGTCTGACCATGTCCATCCAGTGTTCACTGAGCTGCATTCCAGTTGCCGTACTAATACATTATAAGGTCGCACTCATTACACACAAAGTTGCCACAAATTAACCACTTCACCTTGCTGATTTCGTCAGATGTGCTTATGTGGCCGTCTGGAACGCTCTTACTTTCAATATTAGAAATCCACCGGAGCTATGCACTTTTAAACCCAACATTGAAAACTACATTCTTTAGAACTACTTTTTGTGTTAAGTTTGTTGTCCTTCGCCCACACCTTCAAAATAGCGCGGTTGGCTACGTACGTTGTGAAATCAGTTCTACATACTCTTTGGTTCTTTCGGTAAAGTCACGTAGTTAGAAATAAAATAAAATTAAACAAATCACGACGTTTCGATTGCAACACAAGCAATCATCATCAGGAGGGAAAACCACAGCAAGAAAAAATTGCTGAAGTGGGAGAGAGAGCTGCCGCGGCAAGAGGTTATATAGGTAAGAAAGGGGGAGAGAGAGAGGGGGGGTGTGGGGTAGGGAGAGGGGAGCGCTGCGTGTGCACTAGGGGAGAGGACGTGGGGTTGGGGGGGGAGTGGGCGGGGCTGGAAGTGGGAGGCCGAGAGAGCTGGGGATGCAGACGGAAATTAACTCGGATAAATAGACTAGTACCCGGCAGATGTGATAAACAACGACCATAAAGCCGTTAAGGTTTTACCTGGTTAATAACATCCTTCCAAGGAACCATTCAAACGCCTCTCCCTAAAAACCTTCTGCTACTAGACCACCAAGATTCTATGGTCTTCGAAAAATCCATAAAGAAGGTACTCCTCTTCGGCTCATCGTTTCTACTATAAACTCACCTACCTACAAACTGGCCCATTTTCTGTCTGATACCTTGTTTCCATTCACGGGAAAGACTACCTCAGCAGTACGTAACTTAGCTCACTTGGTCTCTCTAATCAAGGGCATTTCACTATCCCCAGATCATTTGCTGATCAGCTTTGATGTAGTTTCTTTGTTCACAAAGGTTCCTGTACCTGACACCTTAGCAATCATTGAAGACTTAGTCCAACATGGACTGAATCCTGATGTACCTACTCTGATGAGGCACTGCCTTACCAACACTTACTTCACCTGGAATGGTACTTTCTACAAACAAAATGAAGGTACCCCCATGGGTTCCACCTTATCACAAGTGATAGCAAATGTTTCAAGGAGAAAATTAAAACAGATGCCATCCAGACATCCACCCTACGTATTTCCTTGTGGAAGAGATATGTAGATGACACTTTCGTCATTTGGCCACATGTTTTGCCAGCTTTGAACAAATTTCTCAACCACATCAATTCCATACACCCATCCATCAAATTCACCATGGAAGTGGAGGATGGTAAGCTACCATTCCTGGATGTTTTGTTTGAGAAGAGACCTGATGGCTCATTGGGACACTCTGTCTACAGGAAAGCCACCCACACAGATTCATATCTGAAACCTGATTCCCACCACCATCCGGCACAGAAGAATTCCCTCATCAAAACACTACACCATAGGGCCCACTGAATATCTGACCAACACCACTTAGCCAGTGAACTGGAACAAGTACACCAGGCGCTCAAGATGAATGGGTACTCGGACCGCATTATTCGCAAAGCTGTTTCTCCAACCATGGAGAAACAACCCCCTGAGAAGCTGATCAAAACCATCATGTTACCATACATAGCAGGTGTTACCAAAAATATTTTCAAAATCTTAAACAATCACAAGATCCAGGTCCGATGTAATACAGTACACAAAATCCGTGATCTAATCCCATCTGTGAAGGATGTCATTCCTGACATGCAATATCCTGGAGTTTACCAACTGAGTTGTACCTGCGGTAGCAGTCACATTGGAGAAACGAAACAACGTCTCGGACCGTGTCCGCGAACACAAGGCAGATCTGAAACACGGCAGAACCAATACCTCTGCCGTAGCTGACCATTGGTATAACGCTGTGGGCTCGCATTATATTGTTTTTTCCGGGAACAAGGTACTCTGCAAACCTTCGGGCTACTATCAAAGGTTTGTTCATGAAGCCATCCAGATATATAAACATAGACATAACTTCAACCGAGAAGATGGATACAAATTGAGCAATCATTGGAAGGATGTTATTAACCAGGTAAAATCTTAACTGCTTTGTGGTCGTTGTCTATCATATCTGCCGGATACTAGTCTATTTTACACGCTTTTATTTAACTCACTGTCTGTTGTATCCTCAACTCTGTCTGTTGTATCCTCAACTCTGTCTGTTGTATCCTCAACTCTGTCTGTTGTCGTATCCTCAATTCTTGTAACTCAATTTTAACCCACTTACCAATGTCCTATCGACTGCAAACTTGGTATATTTACGTCATACTGATGACAATACTGTATTCTATCATTAAAAAATATATTTTTAAGCAATCTTTTTTATATCTTATGTTTCGGCTTGGGTCTAATTGTCCATGCTCAACTCACTTTGGCTGTAAATCACCACAGTCCCTTACGTTATGGCAAGCTTCGGGGCCACTTCATGGAGTCGTGGAGTTCTGCCATTACTCGTACGGTACATTTCATTAAAGCGTGTTTTTTTAAAAGTATTTATAAATACTACTTATTTCCGAGTTAATTCCCCCCCGCATCCCCAGCTCTCTCAGCCTCCCACTTCCAGCCCCGCCCACTTCCCCCTAACAGCCCCACGTCCTCTCCCCCTAGCGCTCACGCAGCGCTCCCCTCCCCCTACCTCACCCCCCCCCCCTCTCGCTCTCTCCCCCCTTGCCCCTCCCCCTATTCTTACCTATATAACCTCTTGCCACGGCAGCTTTCTCTCCCACTTCAGCAATTATTTCTTGTTGTGGTTTTCCCACCTGATGATTGCTTGTGTTGCAATCGAAACGTCGTGATTTGTTTTATTATATTTTATTTCTAACTACGTGACTTAACCGAAACACCCAAAGAGTATGGATTCCTGCAGTCACGAAAGCTTCAAATCAAGACAATTGTACATAGATTTTTTTACTCGGCACTCCATTGGAAAATAAACTTTACTAGTTGGCCTGTGGCCACATGCAGCACAATTAGCATGCTACCTGATACACATATTTTATTATATGCTTTTATTACCTCAACACAACAGGGCAATTAAATCTTTGTAGGCCCTGCCCCCTTCCCTTTTATGCACCACCCCTTCACAACTTAGGTCTAACTCATTCCTAATTATGCCCGATATTTTCCTCTTTCGGCTCCCTCCTTTCATGTTTTGGACCTACTCCTTCTATAGGCTGCACCCCTTCCTCCAGAAAAAGGGTTGGGCTTTTGTTTGGGTAGTGCTGGGGGTTGTGTAAGTAGGAGTGTCCACATGTAGCAGTGGTCAGTGGAAACAGTAGAGGTGGGGGTGGGACGGGTTCATGACCAAAATCGATCTTGGAGCAATACAATAGTAGATTTGAAACAAGGACTGACACAAGATCCAGGTCCGATTCAGTACAGTACACAAAATCCGTGATCTAATCTCATCTGTGAAGGATGTCATTCCTGACATGCAATATCCTGGAGTCTACAAACTAAGTTACACATGTGGTGAGTGTTACATTGGGGAAACAAAATGACATGTCTCAGACCGTGTTCGCGAGCGCAAGTCAGATCTGAAACACAGCAGAACTAATACCTCCGCCATGGCTGACCATTGCTATAACCCTGTGGACTCTCAAGATAGTGTTTTTTCGAGACCAAGGTGCTCTGCAAACCTTCGAGCTACTATCAAAGGTTTATTCATGAAGCCATCCAGATATATAAACATAGACATAACTTCAACCGAGAAGATGGATACAAATTGAGCAATCATTGGAAGGATGTTATTGCCTTCATATCCGCATCTCCAGTTTCTCTTCAACCTCCCATTCCCAGCCCCGCCCACTTCCCCCCCCCGACATTTTGTCGTTGCTCGCCCTTTAATCCCTTCTACTTGCTCTTCACTCAGAAGCGCTCCACTCCCCCTACCCCACACCCCCCCTCTCTGTCTCTCCTCCCTGGCTCCTCCCCCCCCCTCCCCCGCTCTCACCTATATAGCTTCTTATTATAGCAGCCCTTTTGCCCACTTCAGCAATTGTTTCTTTTTGATGACGGACACTTGTGTTGCGCCCGAAACATCGTGATTTAATTTATTTTGTTTTATTTTATACCTACGTGACTTTAGCAAAAGAAGCAAAGAGTATGGACTGAACTTTTTTAAAAGCTATGGTCACGATACTGTATTGCTCATGCTGAAATAACAACTTTGTCATTACCATAATCGTTATAACATTGATAAGCAAGAAACTTACAAAATTTACAAAAACAATTATTTTTATATACTAAACATAATGAGGAAACAAATATTCAGCAAGATTACTTCACACCAGTAGAATGTCTCAAGTGAGTATTTTTGGGCTCAACGAGCATATTCATTTCATTATAATATATTGCAATACATCAGACTTACCCGCATAAGATTTGATGCCATTGAAATTGTACTCCCCACAATCTGAAAAAATTTTGTAACATTTTAATTGTTGTAGAAAATAAAAATGGTGTGTACAAAAAGTACTTAGATCTCTCACGCATATATCGTAATAGAGCTTCTCAGCCACATGCTTCTTTTTGGGACATGATGTCTTCAATAACTTACCTCAGGAGGCATGTTTTCAAATATTTTAAGCATGTTTGATGCCATCTGCAAAACATACAAAAGTATGCATTAGAATAAAACAGTATTATCGAATTCTGTTTACTTCCCACTCTACGGCAGCTCCCTTCACATTTTACTCCACCTTTCTATTTTACGACACCTAGGCTCCTCGTTGCAGGGCCATGAAGAGTTTAAGACTAGCGTCAGGTACTTGAAAAAACAATGCCAGTAAACGGGAAGCCAATGGAGTTGAAGGAGAGGCGACTTGAGTATTAAAGAAGGAACTTAAAATTATTTGTGCAGAAGCACTTTTGAATGTATTGGAGAGGCGTCGGGGTAGAGGCAGGGAGACCAAGAAGAATGTAATTACAGTAGTCCAAACAGTTAAAAATCAGTGTATGAACCAGGAGTTTGGCAGCAAAAATTGAAATGAGAGGGCGTATTTTCCTGATGTTGAATAGATGAAAGTCGCAGATTTGAGTAGTAGCGAAGGTGTGGGTGGAAAAAGTGGGGGAAGAGTCAAAATTGACACCAAGGTGGAGGCAGAGGAAACAGGAGAGAGGAGATAGTTGGGACGGGATGAGAGTAAGAAGCCAAAAAAAATATGAATGCTTTTTCAAAGAACTGACAAAGAGATACTGAGGCGCCATCCATTAATGAATGGCTACCAGACAGGAAGGGATACAAGAGGAAAGGTCAGGGGTAAATGAAGGAAAGGAGAAAATATGGGTATCACCAGAAAATAAAATGAGGAACCACAAAGAGGAAATAATTGATTCAAGATGTGAAATATGCAGAGAATGTAGTAAAGGCTCCAGAACCGAACTCTGCAAAACACTACATGAGAGGGGATGGTGTGGATATATATTGATTGAAGGAGTCTGAGGAAGTGCGAAAAGTAAGGTAAGACTTATATAATGCAGTTTATTCCACTTCCCCAAAACATGTATTATTTTTCCTATCCATTTCATAGCCTGACAAATTGCAGTGCCAGATGGTACGGTGGCTTTAGAGTAACATGTTTGTATGTTAATAATAAAGGTTTTTGTGTTAGATCAGTAAAAAATGTATCACGTTGACAAAAGACAAATAGTTAACTACTTTAGCCCACCGATGTGTTGAAGAGTGAATCCACAACATTTAAAATGTTTGAGTACGACGTTTCGCTGGAAATTACATCCAGCATCATCGGGCAATTTGCCAGAATAGTGAAGCCCTCCACCTGCTCCCGGTCTTAAATAGAGCAGCAGGGTGATGTCATCATTTAACCCAATCAGGTGCAGAGATCAGAGGCGGAGGGGGGGGTATTGTAATTATATAATAGATTAGTAATCAGTTGTAGATTAGTAATTAGTTGTAATGTCTTAATTTGAAGCTTTTGTGACTGCAGGAATCCGTACTTTTTGGTTCTTTCGGTAAAGTCACGTCGGCAGAAACAAAAATAATATATCACGACGTTTTGATCGCAACAACAGCAATTGTCATCAGGTGTGACAACCACAGCAAAAAAAACTGCTGAAGTAGGCGAGAGATCTGGGTTATTGTAATTATATACTACGTTAGTAATCAGTTAATTAGTATGTGTTCCCCTATAAGGAATAGTAATTGTAATATGTATTATTTAATAATATGCTTCCAGGCCGCACTAAACCTGTAGCTGTCAGAGCGATTAAAGTTATTTGTATTTCTCGCAATTTCAATGGATTCTCTAATTAGTCTTGGCCAGTAATAATTAGTTTTACACAACACTTCAACGTTATCAAAATTAATTGAGTGGCCTTGTTGGCAAGCATGTTCTGCCACTGCCAACAGTTGTGTTTGAGATAATATTTATTTGGTGTTCTTTTAGTCTTACGCTGATGTTACGTCCCGTCTGACCAATATAGCATCTGCCACATAAACAATTAATCTGATATACACCTTCTGTTGATAATTTAGGTAATTCGTCTTTAGTACAAGATACTATCTTGATTTGAAGCTTTCGTGACTACAGGAGTCCATACTCTTTGGTTCTTTCAGTAAAGTCTTCGTAGGTATACCTACGGTAAAGTCACGTAGGTATACCTAGGTATACGTAGGTATACCTACTGTACGTGACTTTACCGAAAGACCTAAAGAGTATACAAGATACTAGTTTTTTTTTATTTTGTGTACTGTGCCAAATGAATGTTTTGCTCATGCAAAACACAGGCTAATTTGTCAGTTACTCCTGAGATATAGGGTATTTTAATTGTTTAAATAATCTGATCACTTTCAGCAGAGTTGCTTTGCGATCATGATTTGGCATTCAGTGCTCTGTTAATTTGAGCATTATTGTAGCAATTGTCGTAGTGCATCTTTAACATGTTTAAGCTCTGTCCCTAGACTTGCACCATCTGACACTGTTTTAGCCCGATGTATGAGCGTCTTGATAATAGAGTATTTCTGAGCTGGGTGATGATGTGAATCTGCTTTCAGATAGGCATCAGTGTGCATTCCATTTTGGTAAACACTGTGTTATTTTGATGTCCAAGCAAAATATCTAGGAAAGGGAGTGTGTTATGCACCTCCGTTTCCATGGTGAACTGGATGGCCGGGTTTTGTGCATTGAGATGATTCAGAAATTCATTGTGTATCTTTACCATGTGGCCAGACAACCAAAGTGTCATCAACATATCTAAACTGTAAAGATGGTTTTAATGTACTTGAGGCAAGTGCTCTTGTTTGTATGTGCAAAATGTGTGCATGTGAACATGTTGAACATCTCCAATGTGTATTACATGCGCAATCCATGTATACCACTATCAGAATGTGAAAGTGCACTTTGATTTGTCTTACCTGCATATCCTTGCGTAAAGTCTCCTAGGAGAACAAATGCAAAACAAAGACTGTATTATTTTTGTTACATTTAAATACATATTACATATGGACATTTTATGGAATAAATTATTTTAAATAAGGAGACATTATATTTCACAAAAAACGGTATTATGCTGGCACGTAAAAAAATTAAATAGAGTTTCATAATAAAGGTTTTTGGGTTAGATCGCGTAAGTATAAATGTGTCGAAACCCTGCACCACCCGACATAGCCAATCAGTAAGGGATTTGTCACGTAAACAAAACACCAAATAGTTACTACTTCAGCCCACCGATGTGTTGAAGAGTGAATCCACAACATTTACAATCTGACTCCTTGGTTCTTTCGGTAAAGTCACGTAGATAGAAAAATAGTATATAAATAATATAAAAATAATGATCTATTATTTTTCTATCTACGTGACTTTACCAAAAGAGCCAAAGCTTCAAATGAAGATTGATTTACAATCTGAGTACGACGTTTCGCTGGTATTTACATCGAATATCATCGGGCAATTTGCCAGACTTCAAAAAACCTTAATTATGAATAATATTGGTCGCGAAAGTCTACGTGTTAAACTGAAATAGAACTTACAGTAATTCCTCACTTCCTCACTTAACGCGATTTTGCGATAACACGGTTCTTCTATGAGGGAAACATTTTTGACCAATGCGGTACGCGCCCATTATCAAGCGGTTTCCGACCGGTTGAGGACGAACTAATTTCTTGACAGGCGTGGCTGATCGTTATGTGAATTCTAGGTAAACACGCGTAATGATACAGTAAGCGGCGTACCCTCATCGCCCCTTCACCCCCACCCACCACCACAACAGGCAACCACCACCGCCTTCTCAGGCTAGCGTTTGTTGCATTCGTAATTTTTATTTAAAAAATGGGTCAATACATGTGTAGTGACGCAGATCGGAGATAGTAATATTTGAAGGCACTTCTTTATTAAACAAGCACCATCGGGATATATACGCCCCCTACGTGGGTGCCCACTATTATACTTAAGACCGTCTATTGTCGGTGGCACTACTTAGTTAGAACAGTTGGTAGGCTGTTTAACAGCACCCTGGGATGAAGATGGAGATGACGAGGAGATGGTGACGACGACGAGATGGTGACGACGATGATCTTGAACAGTATAACGGAGATTGCACTTCCAGCAACAGCCCCGAGCTCCCGCTCAGGGCCCCCTCTTATGCTCCCAGCGTGGCATTGCTCCGCCCTGGCCACGTCCCCCTTCTGGATCCTATGACCTTTCCCCTAGATGTCCCCCTCTTGTATATATCGTGGCCTGCTGACGCGAGTACTGCCGTACACTGCAGTTACCCTTTTCCGCCAGCAGCCAGCGCTATACCACTACACATGTAGTAATTATATCATCTATCTATCTCGCATTTCTTTATTACACACGTAGCATTTTTTTAAGTTAACCTGATAACATTGTGGCTCAGAATGCAACCCCACCTTTTACATTATTACAGGGAAATGTTTTTGCTTAAAGTGTCAGTGTATATTACTGATATTTATTTAAATTTATAGTTATGAAACATGGTTATAAATAAAATTTCACAATTAAAATATTACATTCAAAACATTACTATAACATTAAATATGTAACGCTATATCTGTATCACTCACCCCACAATCTGAATCATCAGCCACCTATGAAAACAAGAACAAAGATGAAATTTTAATAAAAAATTCAGCACTAACATAGTTTAACATTAATAACATATTTTAATTAATCAATGATGGATGCAGACATTAACATAGAAACAAAATTAGATAAATATATCTTGTAACACAATTTTAACGTGTATTTAAAATTAAGTGAAATGCCATTTCAGTTTACTTTCTTACGCAAGGAAAATCAGCCTAAAGTTATATCTCCATATATATAAAAGGCAAAGTTGTGAATGTGTGTCTGTTAAAAAAGTTTAGCGAACTTCCCGACATGCAACAAACTTGACATTGGTCATGTGGGTACTTCCCAGACTGGACACCATGCACAAATTATAAAAATACACTTTATTTTTTGGGGGGGGGGAGAGCTCAATAATGCATATATTTTTTGCACGGCAGGTGAGCTGTGACGTCAAATCTGTCACGTGACCCGCGCATGTGTGGTGCCGCCGCAGCGGAGCCACTCCGTCGGGGCCGTGCCCACCGCCGTGACACTGCCACCGGAGAGTGACGACGCTGACGCTGCGCGCCCCTCGCCGCCCCCCACATGAATGCACGCATACCCCACGTAGAGCCTGGAGGGAAGGTCACATGGCCGACAGGTTTTCATCCAGAAGCCCCTAATGGGATCAAGCTTCATGGTTTCCTGCGGCCGGGAAATTGGGCGATCTACCCCCGAGGCTGACGTGCACCGCGGCGCCGTGACCTGATATTAAAGTTGCATGGTCACGCAGGGGCTGTTGAGCCACCGCGAGTGGAACCACACACACATAACACGAGTCAGTGGGTGGGTAGCGGGAGAACAGAGAGCGGACGTCGGAGAGATCACTGCGGCGACGTCACCAGAGCTGGGATCCGCATATCAAAAGGGCGGGAAAATCCAAGCCCCTGATTGGACGGGAGGCCAAGGGGGCGAAACGGCGGAATTCCTTTGTTGTAGGTGGGATAAAGGAGGGGGGGGATTCAGACAGTAAGGATCAGAGTTCTTCAAGACATCGAGAGCAGCGGGGTGTTGGAATCAGCCGTTCGAGTCGTCCGTGTGACGAGCTTCAACGCAGCCAGGCACAACCCTCCACGGAGACGACCCACAGCATCGCCTTTCTACAGCTTCCGGCGCATCAGAGTGGAAGTAAGTGTAAGTTATAGAGAGGTGAGTTTGAGCTAATTAATCAGAGGGTAGAAAGCGGAGCGCCTGGCAGGAAAAATTGAGCCCAGAATCCCCAAAGGATAGGCTAGTGTCTGCTGAATCACACAAACACACGTAGTTTAGCGGATCATTCGCGGGGAATAAAACCGCCAGTAGAGGATAAAACTGTGTCGTGTGGTCGCTGTGAGTGTGAAGAGAGGAGTGGAGTGCTTTGTGTTCGCGTGCATACGCGGTTGTTTACGGCGAATAGGAGAGTGTAGCGTCTGGTATTCGCACACACGCGTGGCTGTTTAAACGGTCTTTAAATCGGGGCGGAGTGACTCCCTCCAATCAGTGGCGCGCGCACAGTGGGCATCCCTGCCCTCTAACCCCTGACCCCAAGTCCCTCGCGTGTGATTGGTGTACGGAGTCGGGCAGGTAGCGAAGTCGGGTTCGTTAGCGCTTGGGCACGTAGGGCGTGTATGCGAACGGGTCCTGGAGGCTAAGCGCCGGCCGCAGAGTCACGCGTCGGCGAGCTGTACCCTTTCGTTCGGACACGAGACGGGGTTTTACTTCACGAGCGCGCTCACCGCAGCACGCCCACTACTAAGCCCGCGTAGCGCGTCGTAAGCGTAAAGCCGTCGACCCTACCAATCGAACCATGCCTACGCGGGCAGCAGCAAAGGCGGGGGCACAGGGGGGCGAGGAGTTGGAAGTCGGTAGCCCGAACCCGACAGAGCAGTCGGGGGGTAGTAGTATGACTGCGACGGAGGAGACGGGGGATGGCGGGATTAGGAAGGAGGAGGCGGAGGGGAGCAGCCCCCGCGGTAGCGAGGGAGTAACGGGGGAGTCGGGGGACAACGGCCCCGACAATTCGGTGCAGGCGAGAGGCAGCAGCCCCCGCATATTGGCGTCAGAAGCGGTACGAACCCCCGCGTTACCCCACACAAAAATAAGGCATATAGTTACCGGCCGGGGGACCCCTTCGTGGAAAGCATTCGCCCGCAATGTCATCGGGGCTAAAGAGATTAATGGGTGGACGAACGCGCAGGCGTTACGCCAACTTATTATGAACCTGGATGGGCGGGCAGCCGACTTTGTAGAAGCCCTACCTGCAAGCGCGCAAACACAGCTAGAGGAACTGATGCGCCGACTCAACCTGCGTTTCGGTATGCGTAAAGAGGAAGAGGCAAAAGCAGCCTTAGAGGCACGCAGTCGCCAACCCGGCGAGGACCTGCGTGATTATGCCGATGATGTGCGCGAGCTAACAAAGATCGCACGCCTGAGGTACAGGACAGAGGTAATTGAGGAGCTTGCCGCCGAGAAGATCCAGCGGTACTTGGTTTGCACGTCGTGGTGGCAGCCCGATATGAGCTGTGCACGTCTCCCCTTTAACGCCCTTGTCGAGCGCGCGCGTAAATGTGAAAGGATTTCCAGCGAACGCGCGCAGCTCCGGGAGCTGGGACATGAGCGCACCATAGCAAGCCTGTCCCCAGAGGAGGAAGAGGAAGAACAGGAGCTCGCCAGGACGGTAAGGGGTCGGGAAAGGGAACCTCCAGTATCCCGCGAGACAACCCCGGGATGGGTAGCGGGGATACAGACGGGCATAAAGGATGTAGCCGGCCAGGTGACCCAAGTAGGTGACAGGGTGACCCATGTACGTGAGGAAGCGACCAAACTACAGTCCACAGTGGAGACCATTCAGTCGGAAATGGGGGATCTGCGCTCCACGATAGGGGGGCTAACTGGAAGGGTGGCCCAATTAGAGGCAGAGTCTGGGCAGCGGCGTACTAGAGGGGAAAGAGGGAGCGGGTGGGGAGGCTTCTACAGGGCCACCGCCCTCCCCCGAGTGTGTTACCTATGCGACCGTCGAGGGCACCTCGTGAGAGACTGTCCTCAGTTCGCCCGCGCTAGACAAGCACCAGGGTTAAACGCCAACGCCCTTGAGAGTGGACCACCTAGGGGTGCAATCGACGAGGTCCCGAAACAAAACGACGATAGTAATAAGGGTGAACGAGTGACCCCCACACAGATTCCGACCACAACACCCAAGGACGCAGTGAGAACGGGCGACTGGCTACGGGAGCTGGTGGCAGGAATCACGAGGGCCAAGTCACTGGTAGAAGGACAGGTGAACGGGCAGCGCACCCGGATCCTACTGGACACGGGGGCAGTAGCCTCACTCGTGAGCGCCACACACTGCAGCGTGTTCGGGTTTGACGTGAGCCGCCTGCAGGCCCCGGATCGCGCGCTGCACACAGTGAGCGGAGCTGGAAGGATCTCCCTCGAGTTCCGTCTCGGACACCAGGTGTGCACACAGGAATTCTACGTCTTGAGTGTGTTGTGCCATGAGTGTATTGCAGGTACGGACCTCTTGGAGAAACTGGGACTCAACGTGCAGCCCCGCCAGCGATGCGCCACCGTGGAGGGCAGCGGGGAGCGGATTCCATTCCTGGGACCCGAGCCAAATCACCCTCGCTTCACACCCGTGGCCACGACGCTGGTGTCGGCCATCACCATCGGGCCGCTCGCCGAGATGTTGGTGCCAGTAGGCAACCCCCTCCACCGACCCCACACACCGACCATCGGGCGAGGTAATGCTAACTCCTCACCCGGAGTTGGCGGCGCGGTACGGAGTTGTGGGGTCAGCCACGCTGGTAAACGCAGATGGAGGCCGATTGTTTATGCGGGTGTTTAACCCACACAGTACCCCGGCAATGCTACGATGACGCACCGTGGTAGCCACCATACACCCCCTGCACGCGCGCCACTCTAACGACTCGGTGTTTGCACTCTGGGCGGAGGACCCTGGACGCCCCGAGGACAACCAGGACCTGGCCTGGCGAGTCGGCCCGACTCCCCGAGCCGAGATCGTCCCCTTGCATGATGCGTGACATGTGCCTTGGGCAGATTTACCTAAGGGGGAGGCCGACCAGCTGCGCGGGTTATTGCAGGAGTACGCCGACGTGTTCAGTGAGCACGATTCAGATGTGGGCCGGACAGACCTGGTTAAGCACCAAATTGACACAGGTGCAGCCCGACCCATCAAACTCCCCGCATACCAAGTGGGCGCGCCTGAACGGACCCAGATCAAAGAGGCAGTCGCGGATATGCTACGTGATAACGTAATCCAGCCCTTGGCGAGCCCCTGGTCTGCCCCGGTAGTACTTGTGACAAAAAAGGATGGGTCGACCCAATTCTGTGTTGACTACCGAAAGTTGAACGCAGTCACCCTCGGCGATGCCTTCTCCATACCACGCATCGACGACACCTTTGACAGCCTCACAGGAGCACGGTATTTTTCCACTCTCGATCTGGCGTCCGAGTACTGGCAGGTGGAGATGGCGGAGGAGGATCGGCCAAATACCGCATTTACCACCCCGATGGGACTGTTCGAGTTTCGAGTTCTTAAGTTCAGACTCACTAACGTGCCCGCGACATTCCAGCAGTTGATGGAGTTGGTGATGCGGGGCTTGCAGTGGGAACAGTGCCTGATTTACCTGGACGACGTGATAGTGTTCAGTAGATCTCTGTCTGAGCACTGTTCCAGGCTGCGAGAGGTGTTCCAGCGATTGCGAGCAGCCCATCTCAAGCTCAAGCCGCGAAAATGTTACCTTGCGCAGCGCGAGGTGGGGTACCTCGGACACCGAGTCAGCGAGGCGGGGGTGCGCACCGATCCGGAGAAGGTGCGCGCCGTAGTGGAATGGCCACGGCCAAGGAACCTGATGGAGAGCAGATCATTCTTGGGGCTTGCCACCGATTATCGCCGATTCGTAAAGGGATTCAGCGAGGTTGCATGCCCCCTCACCAAACTCACATCCCCTCAGAACCCCTATCAGTTGTTGGAGGCCCG